ATAAATTGCGCCATAATTTCTCCGCCATTCCGTCCAACTCCACGTTACAGATCATCTGGTGCATGACGATGAACGATCTGCGACGATTACGTAAATATTCCGTCATTGAACACGGAAGCGTCTATCGCTAAAGTTAACACGGACCGATAATGCGGAACACACAAACTGCGTTTCTGTCAACGCTATTCTTGTAACATTAACATTAGTTGTAAGCGTTATCTTATCATTCACATTTGCCTTATATTATCTTTGCGATGTTTCTGACAACGGGCTATAATAATGTCTTTGTTCACTGATATAATATATACGGCGCATATATTTACGGCACATAACGCTAATAGTTCTGCGTTGACAGTTACATGCGCGCGTGTAAATAACCTCATAACCTCATGAACAACAAGAAGAAAACATCAACATTAACGCGTACTTACCCTTATCGTGACAAAGATGCGTTGCGCGGATGCTTAACAAGGCGTCCAGATGAGGCGCGTCCATGAGCACAGGATAGTGAAGCTGGAACTTTAGAGAGGAATGGTTACGCTCGTTCGATACAACCGGGCCGTAGATGCAACATAGACAATGCAAAAAAGCATTGGCGCTTCGCGCTTGAAAGGAGCGAATTGGCTTGTGAATGGTCGGAGCTCAGCATCCCCGCGTTTCACAAGCACAAACATATAACATGCGAACGACGGATCGCACGCTCGAACGCACACGACACCGAATTTACCAGCCCACATTCTTTCACTTTTGTTGCGTAGTAGCTCAACAGCTATTACGCAATCTCGGGTTAACTGTACTTGGCCATGCACTTGATGACGGTAGGTTATCTCAGTGACAGGTTTGCGTCGCAATCGACCCCGCCGGTGTGCGCATGCTCACGACGGCGTCCAGCTCCGTCTGCTACTCTCGTTACGCGCGCGCGGGTAGCCGGCATATCCCGGCGCGCTCTGCGCGCATCAGCAGCGGTTTCTACACGAGATGCGCGGCCGACGGCTACCGCGTCATCTACTGCGTCCGTAGCGCTGCTGTGTTGCGTCGCGTTATCTACTGCAGTATTCGTCTATCTACGGTGTCGCGCCCCGTGGCCGACGGGACGCACCTAACCGGTTACCGGACCGAAGGGTTAGCGCGCAAAGCCCGGTAACGGACCGTCGATTCATCGCCGCTGAGAACGCGGCCGGCGGCCGTACCTAGATTCACTGTCGTCATGATGACGTATCGACGCAATGACCTGCTGCGCATGGTACTGACTAACTACTCCAGATGGCCGTTCATATATACAAAATCATTCTGCTCTAGCATAATCTGGGTATGTGTTCTACGATTAGCCATCAGTAGTGTTTATGATAATAATAATATAATAATAATATAATGTAATAATAATAATGTTTTATTATTATTACCATTTTTTATCTAGTCTTGATATCAGAGTTAGTGCAACAAGTTTCATGTTATCTGGTTCATATTCAGAAGAGGCGGTGAAAACGTACCGCTTCTCACTCGTCCATCAAAATGCTCTTACAGTTTAGCATCATCGGATGTTATATTTGTCAATATGTTAGCGATACAACCTTGTATTTTATAAATATTTATATATTCTTACTTTAATTTTACTATATAACTATTAAATATTCTTACTTGCATATATATCTACGTATTTTTTGTGTAAAAATTCGTAATATTTTTATTTACCGTACACCTAGTAATAAGGTGGTTATTAAGGGTTAAAGCGAAGTATCACATTTCGCGTGCGCTTCAGGATGTATGCTGTATAATCCGTTCGTTTATTGTTAAAAAAAAACACAGGCGAAGAAGTGCCCGATTTTTCCCATATGATATCGTCAAAGGCGCCGGCAAAGAACTGATCGTGATTCGATCCGAGACGAAATCTGCTGAGTAATCGAATGCGATTATCTGCCGATCTCATGACTGAACGGTAAGAATGAAGACATAGAAGCGAAATTATAGAGATAGATTTAGAAAATAGTGAGAGTAGTGGATGTAGGGAGAGCAGAGAGAGAGAGAGAGAGACAAGAGAGAAAGAAGAGAGAGACAGAGAGACACGAGAGAAAGATCGAGAGAGAGGAGATGAGAGCAGAGAGAGAGAGAGGCGCGAGAGCGAGAGAGAGGAGAGGGAAGATACACGATGTCTGTGATATAGCTAATATCGTAGTATGTTACGATGCTACGATGACAACGGAACCCGTGTGTACATTGCAGACATTCAACACGGCAGTTATCCTGCATGTCACTTCTACTTGTTTGCAGCCGTGCTATAAGTGACGATGATACCCTGATCACGGAGTCTGATCTCCTAAGAGCCACACGCTGTGGAGATGGGTAGGTGCACCAGGGGACCCATTATTAGTGGCCCAAACTCGTTTCGTAATTAAACAACTATCACAAGTCTAGGATACGAAACAAATTTTACACGTAATTATTGTTCGTGAAATTTTTTTACGTTTTTTAGACTTCTGATGCCATAACTGGTTATTGTGTTTCCGTTTTTTTTTTAGTTATGTTGCCTTAATGTTTGTTTTATTGTTTTCACAACGAGCTCCTTGGATTACGCAAGCGATTTTTTTCCCATAATAGTCACTCGTATTTGCAATAGAGAAACGCGAAGAATAAAAAGGAAAAGAACTACGAATTTTCGGGCGATTGTTTTACCAGGGGTGTGGTATATATGCAGCTGCGCGGTAGTTGTGTGCTTTTCGCGTTCTCTTAGTTTGGGCCCCTATGATATGAGAACTCACTGGCGCCAGTTAATTCTGGCTAGTGTTTCTCAAATTTCTAACATGCACAGTGCGTGTGGTGAACTCTAACACTCACTAGTTAAAGTTGTCAGTTTCATTGAATTGTTGCCCCGCTTCCTCCATTACATGCTTACTAATTATATATTTTAATTATAATTATAATTATACTTATAGTGCTAACGCCGTGTATGTTGCCGTTCCCTTTCATTGTTTGGTTAATAATAGTGGGCATAATATATTATGATTACATGAACTTTGTCACGCATTTTTAAACACCCTTTTCACGATTCATTCTAGTTTCGCTCTGTTACAGTATTAATTGTAGAAGGCGCTAGAGCAACTGTATACAGAGGACTACGCACTCTCGTAACGATCTTTTTTCCCGTTCACTCTTTTCTACTCGCCATTTCCACGCTGATGCCCCTTCTTCCTTTTTTCATTCTTCATTTTCTCTTTTTCATTTTGTTTCCTTTCCTTCCTTCCTTTTCTTCCTTACTTTCTTCTTTATTTTCTTCCGTCTACCCCTTTCACTCTGATGCTGCACATAGTTTGACAGGAGAATGCGTTAGAGTTGTGCGACGGTTACGTAAATATTCCGTCATAGAACACGGAAGCGTCTAGCGCTAAAGTTAACACGCACCATATATGCGAACAAACAAACACACACACACAACCACACACAACCCCACACACACACACACACACCACACACCACACACACACACACGACACACACACACACACACAACACACACACACCGCCACACGCACACGACACACGCACACGCACACGCACACGGCAGCACTGCACACGCACACACGCACACGCACACGCCACACACGCACACGCACACGCACACACTCGCACACGCACACGCATACGCACACACGCACACACACACACACTACACACACACACACACGCCACCACACACAACACACACACACAACACATCACACACACACACATACAACACACACAAAAAAAAAAAAAAAAATAAAACACAAACCACACACACACACCACCACCGCGCGCGCGCACGCACGCACGCACGCACGCACACATTCCGCTTCTATTTCGACAACGTCCGCCTAAACGCTCTGCCAATTCATGTTTTGCAGGCTACCCAACAAATCTGTTCGGATACTCGTTTGCAGAGCGGCACGCGCTGCGTCCGGACGAGAACATACGA